TGGTCGTAGCAATGTAGCTTGTCGACTTATTTTTAAATATTGACACGTACATCTCGTCACGGCTCAGAGCCCTTTCTCTCGATTCTAATATAGTTTATGTTATTCTTCCCCTGAAATTCGTGCAATTATAATTCATTAGTTCTTGTAATCACTCAGTCTAGTTGTAATAATTATAAAATACTTCATAGAATTAAAATAATTTAGAACATGTGAATTCACTGACGAGAATGATCCTACCGAGGGGAAAATCTGTGTTATATGTCCGATAGTAACGGCGCACAGTACAGAGTAGGAAAAAATACGGTATATAGTATATGGATTCACTAAGCTATTTAATGGCCACCACCTTGCCTAGGTCCTAAATTCAATGGGCGTTTAAATTTCAATTTGATTTATAGGTATCTAAATAGGACCGAGAGAAATATTCATCGTTGTAAAATAATATAGTTCATGTTATCTTTCCCATGAAGTTTGCGCAACTATAATTCATTAGTTCTTGTAATCACTCAGTCTAGTTGTAATAATTATAAAACACTTCATAGAATTAAAGTAATATAGTTAATGTTATTTTTCCGATGAAGCTTGTGCAACTATTATTTGTTAATTCTCTTAACCATAAAAGTGACGACAACTATGAAATAGGTAATTGAACTATGTACAATGATTTTATGACTAAAATTTGTATAGTTCTCACCTATATAGTTGCCATTACTATAATTTGTTTCTCTGAGTGCGGGTGTATTGTATTCTTGTAATTGAAATATCGTTACAAAAAGACGTTGAATTACGAGACGTTAAAAGTGAACTATTGCTACAGAAAATGTTAAGTAAATTAAGGATTTTTGTCTTCGTATTCCAACTATCACCGTTAATTTAACGAATAATTATTTCTAAACTTCTCAACATTTTTTTTCTCTGAACGTACTATCATCATTTTTTTAACATACTGTCATTGTTCAACGAATAAGTATTTGTGATAAAAGAAGGACTCGTTTTAGCATTTCTTCCGTGGAAACAATTGATTTGTTTGTAAGTTCTAGCTGACAATAAGCAATTTCAATTCTCGATTTCGAAGAATCCAGAACAAATGTCTGTCAGTATCGGAACTCAGACCTTCAATTTGTTTATGTCCCGTGATATTTACGCTGCGACGGGACGAGACTAGAAACGCTCTCGGTGAAATGCGAGCAGGTACACAGCACGGCGATACAAAGTCACGCATTATGATTCTCGCGTCTCCGAGATCGTATATCCGATTTATTTCAAATGGCTTTGCAATCCTTTCGGGATATGGCGCGTTGTCCCGTGGATAGCGCGACGACGCAAGCCGCGCATTAAGGCGGCAGATAATTACAGTCGCTTGTGCAGCTATGCAAACGCGGAAGCGTTAATTTAACAGCAATATACAGTAAAAGTTTTACGATGGAAAAATACGGGTTATTATCGTTCTAAAGATATTTTATCGCTCGGAAGGTTGTGAGAATGGTGAAATAGAGGAAACGACGATAATTTATGGGCATAGTAAGAAAGTGCGTATAACAATGCGGAGTATTCACTAGATAAACAATCTTTACGCATATATTTATTTTCCGAGAGGGATCGGCGAAATACTGTTAGGAAGACGAAAGTGTTAGTAAAAAAAAACACTCGCTTATGATTGGTAATTAAGCACAATTTCATAACCCATAAATCTGGTGGTGCGATCTTTCAGCATTTCGAATGATTCTCACGACGAGTTACTCTTGTTAACGGGAGATAAAAATAACAGGAGCGCGCAAATGCGTATACGAGCGCGACATATGGTTCCCGGTTCTTATCGCCGGCTCGCAATGACGGAAGTAAGAAATCACCTACCCAGTATGTCCGTGTCGCCGGGATAATCTTCGGAATTAGGATCGACGGGAAAGAGACGCACGCCTTCCGCTATTTCGTGGTTCCTCAAGGTTTCAAGGCTCACCCCCAGTTCCTCGCTCATTGTGTAAATGTCCCTGTGCAGACGGATCCTCTCCTGCTGCAGATCTTGTATCCGCAGTCCCTGATGGAACGTTTAACAGTGTAATAATTATAAGATACAATAATCATGTAAATACAACATTCCACACAGGTTAATAATTAAAAATTGTAACGATAGGTGAACTTGACCGTGAACGACATTTCTATTATTCAAGCAAAATTTGAGAATATCGAGTCGCCGGTAATTAGAGGACAATTAGGTTGAATAATTTCTATTATTCGTGTTAATTGCGAAGATAATTGTTTAATAAAGTAAGCCAGGAGCGGCAACGATACGACGGTGAGAAAATACGAATCAGGAATCACTATTCCTCCTCCCAATCGCACGCGTTACTTCGCTCGCTGTGTAACGGTTATCAAATTACTTAACAGTTCACGGATAACTAATGCCGTTTTTTTTTCCGTATAATTGTAGCGATTACCGTAATTACGATACCCGATGCGATACTAACCCTCATGTAATTGTGCAGCCTGTACATGTAAGGCGGACTTTTCACAGGATGCAAAGTGATGGCACGATGAACCTCCTTCTTCTTGAGATTTCCGGTGAACGCCTGGGCCCCGCTGCTGTTGTGATAAAGAATCGACTGCATCTGTGCGGCATCATCACGAGTGTACTATGAGCATCGTCCATTTCGAGAGTAAGCAACGATAAGGCACTAATCAACTCGTATGTTTTATTTCTGTCACGCGATACGTTAATTATTTTTAATAATTTCCCCCCCCCCCACGCGTATCTTTTCTTCTCCTTTTGGGTCTAGTGAAGCATTCACTCGATAGTCATAGAGAGATCATCGAAACATAGCAGCCATTGGCTTTATTTTAAAAAGATCAAATCGCATTTAAATTTGTTACGCAACATTTGTCACACTTTTAAAATATAAGTGAGTCAAACGAGCTGAGTGCACAAATAAAATATAAATAAAAAAACCAACTAAATACATAACTGAGTAGATCACAAGATCACGAGTAAGAATCTCTACTAGAATAGAATCTCACGAATATATAGTAATAATTTAAGAGTAATATAAATAATGAAAGCAGCAGACGAAATCTGTTGTATTTAAATTTGACATACTGGTATTTCTTCTGCCTAATAGCTTTCACGCGCTTCGCTTGTGGTCGGAACAGATTGAAAAACGACGAATTGTTCCAGTGAGAGCAGAAAGGGGACACCACAACATTCGGGCCGAAATTGAGTTAACAATGGGTTCTTGTTCTAGTGTAAAAATGTTTAAACAATTTAAAAAAATGAAAACCAACTTCAAGGGACTCTCTCCGTCTTTAGTGTAGAGAAGCATAGAAATTTTGAAAAATTTACATTACGCTCGTCAAAGTGTTTCTGTTTTTCTCAAATATGTGATTTGTCACATGTAATCCTTTCTGTCCCAACCGATTCAATCGTCCGTCTGGTTTGCGGGTTCGTGCTTGGTCAACGCGACAATGGTATCGCGTATCTGCCGATTCCGCGCGATCCCGGTCTATTAATCCGTCCCGAATGTCTGAGTGCACGTGCCAGCCAGAGCCTCGTCAAACGTGCAATTAGCACGCGGGCAGAGAAGCGGAGTTAAAGTACGAACTTCCTGCCTGTGTGTGCGCGCACTACGACCTATTGTAATTACCATTAAGAACGTCCTATTCGGAGCGCCTGGACCGAAACGCCAAACCCACCGCGCGGGTGTTAATCATGACACTGGGTGTGGTGGTTTCTTGTTTCGCAGAATTACGTCTCGGCAGCGGGCACCGCGAGAAATCGCTCATGCGACTCGCTCTGGCAGCTACGCGCAGGAACCTATCGCGCCTCGGACTCCATACAACGTTGCGCTTTTTCATTAGAAAGACTCGTCGAAAGAAAATTAAATAATTATTTAATAATTTCCGAAATACTTTTATACTTTCATCTGTTCTTTTCTCCCGAGAACTATGTGTAGGTATAACGTTTATATGCGTTCGAGAATCATTCGACAATTAAATTGACGCTTCACAAACTCACCTAGTGGCACAGTATACGAGTATTGGCGATGTTGGGAAATAATGTAAATCTAGTATTCCCAATATTGGTCCGCTATTGTAAAATGAGCGCCTTCTGTTATTTAGCCCACATGTTTATTCAGCAATATTGGTCTAATATTGTGTCAATTTTGGGCCAATATTCTTATTACATTGTTAAATATTGGCCACTGCACTTTCAATATAAATCTAATATTATATAACTATTGTTGTGTAACATTAGATTTATTTTTATTTATTTCCATTTATTTCACGGCCAATACTGGCTTTACGTTGGACAATATCGGCCAATGCATTTCTAATATAACCGACATGGGGCCACTGTTTGCCAATGCACTGTGCCACTAGGGTCCAACTTGAAACCTCTTCAAGGTTTCTGTAAGATGTTGTGTCTCTATTTTTAATTTGTTTTTAAGCACACGTGCCTCATTGGTCTTTTCGCGAAATATCAGATCGATTTATCAGTCTCATCAAGTTAGACAAACTCCTTTTTCCTCGCCACTAAAGATCGCTAATTTCGCGGGAGCGCAATATCGCCGTTATTAGGCTCTCTCCGGCCATAATGAACATAGCGAAAGACGGTGTGGCAAAGGCGCGTGACTCGGGATCGTAAATCCTTTATCGAGTCTCGTGCACGCCTCGATCAATCAATCGTGGCACGCATTGAACGCGCGCGCGCATTGCTCGGTCGCATGGCGAACGCCGCGCGGGCGTTGCATCGCGAACGGATCGTTAAGTGTTTCGACCTTACGTCGAGTGTCAAGACGGGAACGGACGGTCTAGCCAGTGGGTCAGCAGGCTACGATTTGTTCGGGCCTAACGAGTGACATCCTCATCCGTGCACTTTACCTTTCGTCCGTGTCGCGGACGGCGATTTGAACGCGCACCCACGCGAGTGCACCGCGACCGTGGCGAGCCGGCGTCGTATCGCGCTTCCGCCTTTCCGAATGCATAATAGGAACGATTATTAACGAATTGTTACGCTTTCATTTATGCCGGCTTTGCCGAACCCACCGTCGCTGCTCTTAATGACGTCTCCGCGATGATTTCGCATTCAATGTTTTTTTCTTCTTTACTCGACACGACTGTCTATTTTATACGTTGTAATATTATTCGTTGACAATTCATACGTCATTTACATTATTATATTTATTCTTTGACTATTAATTAATTTATTTATTCGTCATTATTTACAATCTAATTCTAAGTTAGTTGCGTCCCTTTAGACTATAAATAGTTTTTGTTACAATTTTATAATCTATAGCAAATTGGTAATAAATCGGTTCTAGCTCGTTAAAATATTGGCCTTAGATCATCGATTAATTTTATTCCTTAATTGAAACGAGCTTGTTCTAATTTTTTTTATGTTTGAAGGATATATTCTTATTGTTAGATAATACTTTACCTGGGTTTCTATCTTTCTCCTTCAAACTTATTTTTTAAATTAGAAATAAAAAAAATATATAAATTGTTTAGTTTTTGCATTAATCACACGTGTTATCTCTCAAGTTATAGAAATCAAACAGGTTTGATTTCACTTTTGTATTATTCGCATACCGATGTTCCAACTTGATCTCGTACTGAAGATGGTCCAGTTTGCGATCGAAACGTATACATTTTCTGTCTAATAAAATTCTCTGACACTACCATCTTGTCTGGGCTCTGAGCCCTCTCACTTTTATTGTTAAATCTTTTATATTGTTTGTTATATTACGCATAAATTTATTTCTTCTTAAAACAAATCATACTTTATGATTTTTCTCAAGAAGGTTTATGTTGTTTTATTATCGCGAAAGTTGTATATTTTTTCCTTTCATTCGGACTCCTCTTAAAAGTTGGCGCATCAAATGCTTGATTATCGCGACGCGCGCTTCGAAGATTTAAGCACTTCGTATGGATAAATTGTTACTTAAGCGGTACAGTTTAAATGCGACCGCGAGTACCAAGATGAAGAAGAATGGCCATTGGGTTAGCAGGGTACAATTCACTTTTACTTAACGACTAACATCCTCATCTGTACGTTGTACCTTCCGACCTAATCCGCACTGTGGACGTGCCCGGTATGTGATGCAGATGCGCGTGGTTCATGTATTTAAATTAACGGTGACAAGCCGAGTTTACTCCCGTTATATGAGCATCGTGCCCTGATTCCCGATCAAGTTACGCACAATTTAATTTGGGATTTAGCCGGTAAAGTAAATTAACCCTTTTTAACATTCCGAGATTACGAATGGAAGTAGCTCAATTATCGATCGATGATTGCGAGATGTATCGGGATATTTTTAATACTAAAAGCTACTTTGATCGTGAGTGACTGCCCGAGTCGAATATTTTGGCCTCAGTTTAGCTTCGTATAAGTTTTGAATTCAGAGCAATAAGGTCGAACTAAGGTATTTGTGTCGGAGAAAATATATTAAATTTTTTACCTCAGATAGGCCTGAAAAGAATCGCCGTTTCCCTTTTAGCAGTAAAGAGACCAATGCAAGTGTAATTAACGGAGGTTCAGTAGATCCTCTTTGGCCTAAAAAGGTTCAAAGAGGGTGAAATATTTTATGACATTCTCTTTGAGGGTCAGAATGAGGTTAAACACACTTTTTTTACTCATTTGGGCCTCAAACTGGAGTTTCAAACCGGCTCCAAGATCCAAATGAAGACAGAATAGAATAACTGAGGCCCATTCTGAGACCAAATACCCGACTCGGGTGTTGGTGTCTGCTATAATGCAGCTAAAAAGAACCGCCGCACGTGAGACAACCTTGTGCAAAAATTCACGTAAGCTGATATTCATAGTCTTGAATTTACCTAAAGTGCTATATGAAACATTTTATTGGCTACGGAGTATCTAAAGATGACCTTAAAGCGATCTTAAATATAAGATCTGATTCTGAATACCGCCTCTAATGTTATTCCCGAAGGTCTGAGAAAGAAAGAGATGATATCGGAGCGAAACTGCTGCCGGTGCGACGTACAATTTGAGAGAGGCAGCGTGCGCAACGTCGGATGAACCGGCGCGGCGTCTAATCTTCCTTGCGTATGTGTTAATCAACAAATCGTTTCGTGTCGTGTACATGCGTTTCTGCGAGTGCACGCGGCGGAGCCGCAGAGGAAGAAATTGAACGACCAGAATAGCTCTAATGTCGCTAGTGACAATGGAACCGACAAACTGGTCATGCAGTTCGTAGAATCGTAAATAAAAAGCTTAATCCCTCGCGATGCTAAGGTACAAATAGCGGAATTGCCGTGGATGGAATTGGGTGAAAATGAAAGAAGTGGAAGATTAGCTTGGGCACTTTAGGTCACAAGTTGTGCCATCGCTCCAAAGCTGCGGAAAACGATGAGTGTGCACGAGACTAAGGTGTAATAATGTTTTGGCAATCAACGAGATAGCAACTAGCATGTACTTGTGTCGACTCGCGATAAGATAAAACGTTTTGTTACCTATCTACGTACGACACGACGCACTTTCTTTCGGCGATAAAACGAACGAATCGATAGCGAAGTAAATTAATTCATTTCTTCAAAGAGCAGAAATGAATAAATTTTTATAAATAGAGTCTCTGAATATTTTTCCTCTCTCCATTTGTTTTAATTTATTTACTAACTATATAAAAATCACATATTCTTGATTTTCTCCAAGTTGTTTTAAATATTTTTAGAAAACAGCGAACACGTCGAGAGAAAAGGAAGGGACGTGCTTTCGTAATTGTTAGTACATATTTTCTAAAGGCCTGTAGTCCACTGAACTTGAAGCAAGTTCTAGCGTCGTGGGCGCAAGAATATTCTTCGACGATTTGGAAAGTAAACTAAATTCTCCGGAAAAGAACTGCGTTAGCAGTTTTACTCGTTTGCAAATAACGATCCTTGTACGATACGACACTAATTGCCTCCGTAAACATGACGACCGAGAAGAATTTACCTCGTAGCTCCAAGTGCAGGGGATCCCAGCGTACTTTTTCACGCATCTTCCCAGCTCGACGTCCTCGTGCGTGGTGTACAAATGGCGCAGGCAGTACTTGATGTGCGGCACGATCCGCCTCAGCGTCTCCCTGGACAGCACCACACCCGGGCCACCCATGCAGAAGTTCTCGTCGTACTCCAAGGAGAGCAGTCCGAACTCCTCCGAGTTCCCTCTGCCGGCCTGTCCGATGTACATCGCCCTCCTGGAATCGACGGATCTCAGCAGCGTCGCCAGCCGGTCTGCCCTCACGTATACGTCGTCGTCCGCCCTCAAGAACCACTCGAAGCGATCGCCGAAGTTGCTCCACATGTACTGCAGCATCATGAAGGACTTCTTTTGCGGCGGATAGGTATCGTCCACTCGCGGCAGCGGCACCAGAGGCAGATCCGGGCAGTTTTCGGGAGCCGTCGAGGACTCTGACGAAAAGAAGACTATCTTGCCGGGTATCTCCTTGCCCCACGTTTCGTAGACGGCCTTGGCTCGCGTGTCCAGATACTTTTGAGCCGTCATCACGCCCACAAACACCAGATTCGACGTGGAGCTGTTGACTCGCTCGTCGTCTTTCAGCCACGGCACGTTTCGCGCCGGCGTTTTCGGCGATGAAAACCGTAAAGCGGGCATGGAGGTCCAAATGGTAACCTGTTGCTGCTGATTGAAGACGATCAGACGATAGCTGAGGACCAAAAAACCTAGGATCAGGCCCACGAAGAGGCCCAGGAAGGCGCTGCCGACTCCACGCCGTTTACGCATCACTGGGTGATGTGTCACCTCTCCCATTTGCACTCTTTCCGGGTACCTGGGTCTTCGGTCGGGTTCAGCCTCGTCATGGTACCCGCTATCGCCGACTCAGATACAGTGATTAATCCTGTCAGAGGATATCCTTTGGACAATCCCATCGCTCTACCTGCTATTAGATAGGAGAGACTTTCTTCATCATGCGAAAGATCTCAACCTGCGGACAAAAATTGTTCTACGTTATTTAGAATTTTCTCAATTTTTTCTAACACGAAAGTCTATTTCTTCAGAATTTCTTATGTTATCCTACTTGCTCTATTTCCGTCATTGTTTCTCTAAAAGTAACAATGCATTTTTCATTATTATATGTATGTACGTACATATATTACTATTCCAAGTTTTTATTAGTCTGATGATACAATTTATTTTATTTTAATAAATGTTGTGTGCTGTTCGTCGCTACAATAATTTATTAAAACTTTTCACGCGATATTTTCACTTTTTATATTATCCGCATATTAGTTTGCTGTTGTTTATTGTTACATTTGGTCGTAACTGGAGCAAATACTTATATACCGTCGATAACGTTGCAGACTATGTATCTTAAATAACATTTTCTTATAAGAAATCTTTATCTCCGACGCAGGCACATTTTAAGTCTTAAATAAATTCTACGAGCAACGGACTTCGATCAACGTTCCATTTGTAAAACAAACTTCAACCGTGTTTGATTTTCGTTTCTCTTTGAGAAGTTACCTCTTAGCCGATTAGTCATTCTTCCTTTATGTAAGATCTTCACTATTAGTTATTCTCAGCGCGTTGGCATTTAGCAATAACTAATTAATACACGAAGTGCAAAAACAGATTTACAGCGAAACTCACGTCAAACTTTTTCTTCAAAGTGCCGAAGATCGCCATGTCGCATCACCGCGGAGTAACAGAGGAATGAGAAACGCGCCCGCGTTTGATAATCTGAAACCAAGACCAATTATATGGTAAATGATCGAGACGAGTTGTCGGAGTAGCAATTAAAGCTCGAACACGCGAAAAAAACTTAACGAGAAATGACCAATGGCTGTCGAGAACGTAAGCAGCAACTTCAGCGGTGCTGATAATTCCGATTACTTGAAGTTCTTAAGTCTTACTGCTTAACAATAATTAAGCCCACAGTCGACCATAAGTGGCAACGTGTTTTTAACACAGAAAATGTATTGCGACAAATATTACCTCAGCCAGGGTTTGAACCTGGACATGCCTCAGTGATCGAATTGGTGAGAGTGTAGGGAAGTCCAGGTTCAAACCCTGGCTGAGGTAATATTTTTCACAATAAATTTTCTGCGGTAGAAACACGTTGCCAATTATGGTCGATTGTAAGCTTAATTATTGTTAGTCGTGTACTGGCGTCAAATAGTTCTTGATCTTAGTGCTTAAGTTGCTTCGTGCGCTTCCAGCTTTATGAAGAAATCGGATCTAACGTGTACAGCGATGCGGGGGGGGGGCTTTTTGAAGAACGAGGCCGTACACGTGCCAAGCGACGGCGACTCAAATCGACGGCGCGACGTCAGCAATTAATACTCGAACATTTTTCAAGAGTTGCTTATAACACAAACGCTTTCGTAGTAACAAATGATTAATTAACTGAAGACTCTCGATATTAAAATTAACGCGTAACAAGGAAAAGTCGACGTCGTGTGAGAGTCAAGTGCGATTAGTAGTGCGTGAGCTGACGTTGTGCAACACTTAATACTTTAATACAAATTATAAGCCGTGCGTTTCGGCTCTGCTTTGAGCCATCTTCAGCGACCTGGTTTTAAATTATAGCTCGTTCGTCCGGCTGTCAACATGACTTCGTTATAGTATCGAATAATTACGACATCGGTGTGAGTGCACGTCGATCTTAATAAAACAAGTCAATCGGTATGGCAAGCTATGATAGGATTCTGCCGTTTTTCAATTTACAATCTACATGTTTATACATAAACGTTTATTGTATTTTACTGTTACAGTAAGATACAATAGCCTACGGTTAAGTATTATGTAATTCACTGGATTATCGGGAGAGTAGCGTATCTTTCCGGTTGGCAGGAGCTCCGGGAGCTCTTAATAAGTTGTCGCAATTATTCGCGGGTCGATGGGCATTATGCAGAGACTCAGGAAAAATCTTTCTGCACGATTGGCAACTAATGCCCGGTCATGCGACCTGCGATAACGGAAATGGGAACAAAGCGAGCACTGTGCATACCTCGAAAGTCGTGAAGTGTATGGCGCGGCGGACGGGGCGACCTGTCCAGAAATGAGAACCCGGCGCCGTTACGAGTCTCTCTACAGCGACTTAACTGCCCCGGTTCTGTTATTTTCACGATCGCGCCCAGAAACGCAACGTTCCGTCTGCGAATTCGCGTGCCCGATTACTCACGGAATGGCGAGTGTTTCGTATACATATATTTACGATTGACAATTGGTATATTTAGAATTACAGAACAACTAGCAGTAACGTTAACGCGCTCGGGAACGGCGTTTCCTTCGCTGCCGTTCTGTTCACGTTGGTCCACACAAATCTTCGCGGTCAAAGGTTCGTCGGGAAAATATGTAAAAATATTCTCTCAGCAAGCGACCGCTCGGCAAACGAAGTTCTCGTGAACGTTTTAGGCTCGGTTTCATCAAACGTCGTTTGACTTTAATCTTAGTTTAATACACGTTTGTCTCTTTCTAAAGTAACAGTTGAAAAGAGATAAAAACGAATTAAGCTAGGCTTAAAGTTAAACAACGTTGATGAAATCGGGATTTAGGCTCGGTCTCACCAAACGTCACTTAACTTTAATCTTAGTTTAATTCACGTTTGTCTCTTTCTAAAG